TGATACGTTCAAGCCCTGACTCCTGGTACCTCAGAATGTGACTTTATTTGGAGATGGGGTCATTGCAAATGACCGGGTTAAGATGAGGTCATAAGAGTGGGTCCTAATTCAATATGACTGTGTCCTTGTAAAAAGGGGAAATTTGGACACAGAGATACGCACAGAGGCAGCTGATGTAAAGACATGGGGAGAAGGCCGTGTGCAGACGAAGGATTGGAGAAATGCATCTACATGCCAAGGAATGCCCAAGATCATGGCAAACCACCAGAAGCTAGGATGAGGCAAGGAGGGCTTCTTCCACAGGTTTGAGAGGGAGCATGGGCCGGCCCACACCTTGATTTTGGACTTCTAGCCTCCAGGACTGTGAGAGAACACATTCCTGTTGCTTTAAGTCACCCAATTTGTGGTACTATATTATGGCAGCCCTAGGAAACTAATATAAAGACAACAAGATTAGAAAATAAAAGGGGTTCTAGTTATTTACCAAAACAGGAGGCAATTTCAAGAGTATTTTCTTAAAACTCATTAATTTTCCCAAGATAAGAAAAATAAGAAAGCTTTAAACTATTTATTCTCATAAGCTTGGATCTTTATAGCAGTAACACCATTGTAGACAACTTTTAATAAAGGAAAGCATGAAGAGAAAAATGTCAGCCACATTTCCATAACCACCACGTTAGCACGTTTCCTTCTAGGCTTTTCTCTATGCAATATACATGCAACACACACACACTCACACACAGAATTTTATTACCTAAGTGTCTACTGTATTTTTATTCCCACATTCTTCCCCCCAAATGATTCATAATATGAAATAATCTTTATGATATAAATAGATGTATAAACACCTTTCTTGCCTATATAATCAGGTGGATGTTATATAACATTTGGGTATTAGGGCAGTTAGGTTGTTTCCAATTGGTGGTTACTATAACCAACTTCACAACGAAGGTCTTTGTGCAAGAACTCTCAATCCACGTCTCGGCTATTTTCTTATTAGATTCCTAGATGGAATCTAGGAATCAATGGATGGAAAAAACATACATTTTTCAGCCTCTGATGCATCTTGCTTTCCAAAATTAGATGAGCTATTGATCAACCGAACAGGTTTAAAACAGATCCTGGTGGCTACTTGTGACCATGGCTATAGCACAGCAGTCTTTCCTTACATTTGTGGGAACTTTTTTTTTATTCTAAGAGGTCTTGCCAGACTCCTCTTGAGGCAGAACTCATTGAAGCCCAGAGAGGTAGGTAAGTGATGCTGGGGTCAGTACTGAAGCGGAGCAGAAGGCTATCATGCAGGGCAAAGCACGTTACAGAGGAAGGAAAGTGGCCTGAGCTGGCCTGGGAAAGTACTCAGAGGGCTGGAGGCCAAGAGTGGGGCTGGGGGGCTGAGGGACCAGGAGGCCCATCTCTCAGCACCAGACTCAGGGACTTCCCGGCAGCACATTGCTGGGTTGTTAGAGATGGATGAACCCCTACTCTTGCCTCTCACCACTTTTTGTCTTAATATGACTGTGGTTATTAAGGAACACCAAAGTGAATGATTTTAACATTCCACACTTTAGAAAGAAAAAGCCTGTAACTTAAAAATATCAATAGATGTAAGCCACAGAAACCAAAGTTTCCTAGGGTCCTCAATAATTTTGTCAATAATTTCTTTCAGATTGCAAAGAGGTCCTGAGACCAAAATGTTTGAGAACTGCTGCCTTCATCAACATGTGAAAAATCAGACAGGGATGAAATCCTATGACTGTAAATACTAATAAAGCCTTTAGGGACAGCCCCTCCCTCATGCAAGACGTGAGGGTTCATACAAGTTTAAAAAAAAAAGACAACAAATGTCACGAAAGTGGGAAAATCTAGCTATGATGCATTCTTTAGTCAATATCATTTGTACTGAAGAAACTCCACAGATGTAGTCATTGTGGGGAAATCTTCACTTGTAGTTTGCCCTCGATTAATGTGAGAACTCACACTGGGAATTCTGTGAAGAAACCCTGTGAATGCAGACAGTGTGGGAAGACCTCTAGCTCGTCCTTCTCTCAACATGAGGACACGTTCTGGAAAGAAATCCGTAAATGCACTAAATGCAGAAAAACTTTCTGCATCAAAAAACCCACAGTGGAAAGAAACCACACTTCCTTAAAAGTAAGCCATGCAGAAAAGGCTTCGATCTGAGGCCCCATTTTATTGGTAACATAGAACTCACACAAGAGAAGAGCCTTTCTTCACAAAGAACAGATTAACCTACAAGGAATCACCAAATGGGAGAAGTTGCTTCTGAATGAATCCCACCAGAGTTAACAGCATTCAAAGATTTCCGTAGCTACGGACACTAATGGGGAAGGGTTTGTGAAAAGTGTTTTCACAAGTCTGAACTGAACTGAACTAGAAAATGCATGGAACATTAAACAGGGACACGTATATGCTGTATATGCGGTGCCGTTGTAATTTTGTTAACATTTTAATTCACTCAGTTACGGAACGCCTCCTCAGGGGACCACGCACCACGTTAAGGCACTGGGGCCAGACGTGATTTTGAACTGGATGTGTCCTTGCAGCCCACATGCTCGCGCGTAGACCCACTAGAAGGGAATGACAAGTTTTTTTTGGGGGGCAGGGGGGTGGATCAGGTTGAAGATAACATTTTATTACCTAAATCAGGTTATATATGTGTACATAGACTGCTGTTATTATACAGTATGTCAAAAGAATCTTTCCATGATAATATAGACGCCTCATCCTAAAATTACAAACGTATTTGGTGTGGTAGAAATAATAAATTACCAACGTTTAAAAGAATAATCTGAAAAAAGTAAACGACAGAGAAATGAGGTACAATAATCTCTTTAAATTGACGCAAACACTCAATGAAGCTGCTTGATGATTAAAAGTTTTGTTACAGTTACAGAATGATATACAAAGACCACTTTTTTAATGTTAGTATCAAGGTACATGTTCCTAGTTTCGTCAGAAACAAACATTAACTGGTAGTTGAGGGCAGGGAGGGGTCGGTTCCTGAGATACCAGGGCACGACAGAACTCTTCCTCCCACAATCGTAGGATTAAATGTTGGCACAAAATCAAGATTATATTTCATGGTTGCCACACTGCTCTTCCCCCCACAAATTTTATCATCTATTCAAGACATCATGTTATGCGAATACTGTTAAGTATAGAAAACATTTTATCAGCACTAACTTGAACATGCTGACAGCAGAGCTTCTGTGCAGTCAAAACTGAAAGGGAGGAGCGGGAAGGAGGAGGTGAGGGCAAAGGGGATAGAAGGATAGAGGGATAGAAGGATGCTGGGAAATTAAGTAGATTAGAAACGGAATTTCTAGAATAAAAAATGTCCCTTCAAATGGATTGCTAGGCCAAGAAAGGAAATTCCCCAAACTCCTTTTTCCACTAATTCAGGAATGTCAATTCAAGTTGGACTTTATTATGCAGAAAGTTTTCTTTAGAAAAATAAAATATTGAGTTTTAATATCAAACTTGTTTATGTACCTTTATTCTTCAAACTTCATGTCAAGTTACAAATAATCCACACCATGGAGCTATGTTGCTTCTTTAGGATGTACACTTCTTCAGGGAGAAAACAGCAATAACCAAGACATTGAAAATGAACTCACAGTAAATACCCAATTGTAAGTATACAGAGAGGGTGCATTACATTTCAGTGTAGTCCAATATGCACACTGTTTAAAAGTGGACCCCCCTTGAAAATATCACACACAGATGTACATAATTTTCCTACAAAAGAAAGAACCCACAAATGAAAGGTATTTTTTTTTAGTTTTAAAGTTGTATCACAGGGAATAATTGTTTAAAAACTATCAAACCTTGTGTATTTTAGCAGCAAACAAAAAGCTATTCCAGGTTAATCTATTTTTAAACATTGCTGAAAAAATTGCAAGCTTTAGAAAACATCATGGATGTCAAATGCGTTACTTAAAAACAGAGTAGTACTTTGAACGTAGACACCACTGTCAGTTGTGTTCTGTGGTCAGTAAAACCCTGCTGGGGGGAGCGGGGCCGTGGGGAGAGGGCAAGCATGGAGGAGGCCAATCTGCGTGCTATAAACCGCTCAACTTACTGTAACAGGTGAGGTGTAAGAATTCTTCATACAGCTTATATTTCCAGAAAACAATAGTTCTTAGGAACCATTCTTTTAGGATCTGTGGTCCATTTTCAAAGTTTTCCTCCCCAAGTATCTTCTGGTTAAACCAGCATTTCTTATAAGAGAATTATAGCTGTTGGGTGTTTTGTTTTGTTTTTTTTAAATCAACCAACTTTTTCTTTTTGAAAGGGTAATATTAAAAGATATTATTTTTCAAGTCACTAAAGATGGTTTGGGTTAGAGAGTAATTTGTTTGAAAGGGGATTCTACTTATTTAATTTCATATTCTGCTGTGGCAGCTGATATTTTAGTACTGAAAGGAATTATAAAAAATCAGAAAAATGGAACTAGATACAGATTAAACCAGCCTTATTAGGTGTTTCTGAAAAGAAACAACTTTTATTCTGAATCAGTGATAAACTACATATTCATCTGACACTATTTCAAGTCACAATTATATTGATCTCTCCCCTTTGAAACACTGAACCTTTTTTTGTAAATATAACTTCTCAAAAATCATTTGAAATCAATTATTCTAAAGATAAAGCATGAGAAACAAATTCTCTCCACCCACCCTGACTTTAATTTTTAGATCACAATATTCTGGTAAGAGGTTCCACTTAATTTCTTTCATATTTTTACTTCTTCTTGACAGTTTTTCCAAACTTTATGAAAATTTAAACTATGACGAGGACAAAAGCATTCAAAACATAATACAAATATACAAAAATACAAGAAAAGTTCAAAACAAAACACCGTATTGCATTATCTCGAAATATGATGTGTTTGTGATACGACCCAAGACCACAGGGCCCTGAGTCCACAACACCCACCATCCTACACAGATCTACGTGCATATCTTTCCATATTTTCCTTTTTTGCCTTTGATACCTGAAGTAACTGAGAATCAAGAAAATAACTAACATGATATGAACAACACGGTACCTATGATTTTTTGAAGTCCTGACTTGAACACATCTTAATTGGTGCAATATTACTCTTGACAATGCTCAAATAACAAGAGACAAGCAACACGTATGAAAAGACTATGTATCACACAAGCAACGTTTTTAGAATCCCAAATAACGTCCACACTGACATAAAAACCTGCAAATTAAATCTGAACTCACCTCATTACAAAGTCAATTAAATTCTCACGTATCTTAGAATGCTGTTCTCAGAAGCATTCTAAATTATTCCATTTTCTAGTGCAGAGAGGTTATGGTAGAAAGAAAGGTTAAGGTGCTTTTTTCATAAACTGCCAACAGACACTGACACACACACACCCAAACTATCAAAAAAAAAAAAATCCTAATTTTGAAATGTGATATATGATTAAACGTCTACACTAAAAAAATAGGAGAGTGGGATAGAATAATTTTCCTTGACTAATGTGTCATAAATATAGACAACTCAATGTACATATGGTCCTTCTATCCTTTGTTTTTTTAATTGTACACTTTTAGAATTGCTGGGATATTCCCCTAGTTTCAACAGCTAACTAGAAGACAATATTCTGATGGTGAGCTACTAGAGACTAATTACCCACTGGTGAGACTACACTCGCTCTGTTTTCTTCTTTATTATTAAACCATAACTTCCTACTGCTATTTTGTTTCATGCAACACCAACAAAACTTCAATTTTTTTCTAACAAAAAATAAATATATAAAGAAGATGATGTCAGGCATATATTCACAACGTCTCAATTTCTTAAAACGTCAAGTATGGGTATATTTATTTCTCTCAAATGCATACAAGACAATAATTACACAGCAACAAATCTTTTGTTCAACAATGATTTGATTGATAAGCATTTGAAATTTACATAATTTCACATCCATACCCTTGCGTTTTTAAATACTGTAAGTAAAAAAGCCCCCAGATAACCAATTCTTATATTTCCTATTTATCCCTCTATACATCCAAACTTTAAAAAGTTACAAACTGAACATTATACAGAACATATAAATCATGTTTAAAAACTTGAGGTTTTAAAATCACTGTTCCCCAATATGATTCAGAAAAGTCTCATGCTGACAAGTGCAGCCCTAGGTGGTCAAATAAACTAGAGGAGGGGAAGAAAGAAGAGACAGACGCAAGTTTGCTGTCTTAATATTTTACTAATCCTGTCAGTTAAAACTTGTGACGCCACGAGAAAGGACAGTTTAGGTTTCATCTGAGGAATGGAGTTTGCCTCACCGTCTGAGACATGCATTTCAAGTATTTTCCTATTTGATCTGAGCTCCCTGTAGCAAACCGAAGCTGAAAGAGAATAATTATTTTCTTCCATACATTCGCTCAATGTCCGCCTGGTAATGTGTTTTGAGCTCTTTGCGTTTCAGCTTGAAGGCATCTGTCACCAGACCAGTTTCAGGGGTCCAGGGTTCAGGGCTCAAACGAATTTTCAGCGGAATTTCAAACTTTTCCAGACTTGCTGAGATGGTGGGGAAAAAAAAGTAAATGCAAAGGCATAAAAAAGTGTACGATTAAAATTCTTAGCAAACAGTATAGCTTCCCCAGTCTTTGAGCACCCAACCAAAATGCACAAGCAACAGCCCATGAATCTCGAGTCTAAGCAATCTATCCCTCAGAAATACTAGCATAAGTAAAAAAAATAGATACGTATGAAGATTATAACAGCAAAAAACTGTTTAAAAAAATCTACATATCCATCAATAAAACGAGTTAGATAAATTATGATATAGGCATAAAATAGAATACAATTCAGTCATTAAAAATGAGTTAGATCTACATAGGATGAGTGTGTAAAGATACGTGCAATATATTGTTAGGTTAAAAAAAGGCAAATTTCAGGGCCGGCCCCGTGGCTTAGCGGTTAAGTGCGTGCGCTCCGCTGCCGGCGGCCCGGGTTCGGATCCCGGGTGCGCACCGAGGCACCACTCCTCCAGCCATGCTGAGGCCGCGTCCCACGCACAGCAACTAGAAGGATGTGCAGCTATGACAGACAACTATGTACTGGGGCTTTGGGGGAAAAATAAATAAATAAAATCTTTAAAAAAAAAAAAAAAAAAAGGCAAATTTCTTTTTAATACTAGATAAACTTACATGCCTCTAGATGTGCAGGACGAGAAAGATACAAAGCAAACTTGTTAACTATAGACTCCTAGGGGCTGGGACCCAGGATTAAGGAAAAGGGAATGTCACTTTTTACTTTATGCCCATTTGTTTTCTTTGAATTTATCATAAAGAGCATAATCACTTTAGAAACTAAAAAATAATAAAGTTTAAAGAGAATCTTGTCACTGAACCAGGATATCCACTGTAAGCTACGAGAACAGAACAAGTGTTCACTACTGTGTTCCTAACACACTGTTTGATACCCAGTGGATTCTCAATGGTGGAGGGAGGGAGGGAAAAGAGGGAGATGCAGTTTTGAAGACACACATTTCCTTAGTAAGATTTATTTTTCCAGCATTCATTCAACAAATATTTATTGAAAAAAATTACTGTGTAAAGTACTTTACTAAACATTCTTTAAAGATACAAAATTGAATAGTTTCTGCTCTCAAGTGGTATACACTCTAATAAGGGGAAACAGGTGAAAATCTAGCCAGAATAATATATATATAAAGTACTAAATTAAAGGCATAAGTACCTTGGGAGCAAAAGAGATATATTAACTCTAACTTGTAAAAATAAACCTCGTAGAGATAACAAACAAGGTTTTATTCTTCAAAGATTACAAGCATATCAGGAGTGGTTTCCAAGAGGAAAAATGACGGGAGCCACAGGCAGTCTGGCACGGACCACAAGACTGAAGGGACAGGACTCTGCACCACTGAGATGTGGGGGAGACTAAAAAGCAAGTGTGGATGACCACGTGAGGTTTCAAATTTCAACCTGCTCAGCACTGCACGCCATGACCTGACTCGAAACTATGTTAATTGTATAGTGATACCATCTAAACCACTGTTTTAGCAAAATAAATACAGCCATGTCCAGTTGGAAGAATAAGGACTGTAATAATTGGAGTATTTCTTCCTTATTTTGTTATAAACATGTCTGTATAGATGTTAAGCAAATATTTTTGTTTTCTTCCCTCTTATTCTCTTATCTGACATATGTATTAATAAGTTAACTTTATATCACAGTATTTAGGAAGTTATAGGATATCAAAGGAGAAAAACAAAAATCACTCAAGGGGTTTGCATCCTCTTCTGGAGAAAAGGTTAACATATTTTCAGTGGTACGCAGAACAGCTGTATCGTGTTAGGCGGACGTCTGACTCTGTCACTGTCTTTACTTGGAAATGAACTATTAACTGTTAACTAAGGAGACGTAAATGGGTGCCAAGTTGGCCAGAGGGGACTGCGACACTCAGTTTTATGAGTCCACTGGGCTGGGCTCGAGTTCCCAGTTACTCAGTTGAACACTAATCCAGGCATTGCTTTGAGGTATTTTGTAGATGTGATGAAGTCTACTTTACGTGAGGAAGATTACCCTAGATAATCTCAGTGGGCCTGATTCAGTCAGTTGAAAGGCCTTGAGGGCAGAGCGGAGGCTCCCCACACAAGAAGCAACCCCGCCCGTGGACAGGAGCTTCAGCTCATGCCTGCAAGCTCCAATCCACCCTTTCTACGGTATGCCTTATGCATTTCCAACTCTGCCTAGCCAGCCCCCCATTGTCACGTAAACCAATTCTTTGCAATAAGTCTCTCAATATATACAACCAACTAATTCTGTTTCTCTAGTGTAAACCTGGCTAATATAGATTTCGCTTAAGAATGAAGTTGGATCCCTTCTTCACATCACATATGAAAATTAACTCAGAATGGATTAAGGATCTAAATGTACACAGAACTACACAACTAAAACTACACAACTCTTAGAAGAAAACACGGGGTGGGGGTGTATCTTTGTGACTTGGATTAGGGAATGATTTCTCAGATGTGACACCAAAAGCACAAGCAACAAAAGAAAAAAAGAAATTGTGTTCTTATCAAAATTAAAACTGTTGTGCTTCAAAGAATCCATCAAGAAAGTAAAAACACAACCCACAGAATGGGAGAAAATATTTACAAATCACGTATCTGATAATGGACTTATATCTAGAATATATAAAGAATTGATACAACTCAATAATAAAAAGACTACCTCATTTAAAAAAATGGGCAAAGGATCTGAATAGACATTTCTCCAGAGAAGATATACAATGGGCAATAAGTACATGAAAAGATGCTCAACATCATTAGCCACCAAGGAAATACAAATCAAAACCACAATGAGATACCACTTCATACCCAAAAGGATGGTTAGACTCAAAAGGATGATCAATAACAAGCACTGGCAAGGATGTGGGGACACTAGAACCCTCATAGGACACTAGTGGGAATGTAAAACGGTGCCACCAATTCAGAAAATAGTTTGAAACATATTATGGAGATAGTCTGGTAGTTCCTCAAAAGGTTCAACATAAAGTTAACACAGGCCCAGCAAGTACAGGCCTAGGTATCTACCCAAGAGAAATAAATATGTCCACACAAAAACTTGTATACAAATGTTCACAGCAGCATTATTCATTAACAGTCCAAAGCGGAAACAACTCAAATGTCCATCAACTGATGAATGGATAAACAAAATGTGATATATATCCATATGATGAAATATTATTTGACAATAAAAGGGAATGAAGTATTGATATATGCTACAACAAAGAAACACGGATGAACCAGTCACAAAAAAACGTATATTGTATGATTCTATTTACACAAAATCTCCAGAATAGGCAAATCTACAGAAACAGAAAACAGATTAGTGGTTGCCAAGGGCTAGGAGGTTTAGGGTATGATGGGGAGTGACTGCTAATGAACATGGGATTTCTTTTTGGGGTGATAATAATGTTCTAAAACTGTGGTGATGGTTGTACAATTCTGTGAATATACTAAAAACTAACTGTACACATTAAACGGGTGAGTTGTTTGGTATGTGAATTATATCTCAATAAAGCTGTCAAAAATGTACATAAAATTAAAAAACAAGCAGAAAAGTATGAATTTATTACTAATGTTTCAGTATTCCACCTTACTTAGAAACTATGTAGGCTTCTAACGACTATCCATTAATTAACTCAATTCAGCATCAGTCCGAGGTTTTAAGTTACCTAAAAATGCTGGAAACTATCTTCAAACTGACATACTACAAAACATAATTTAAAGAGTCAGAATAATGATTCCATCCGGTTAAATGCAATTTACATTTTTCATAATCTTGAATAACATATCCCAGGAGAATAAAAATACATACTTGTATTATACTTAATGCTGATGACTGAGAAGGTACAGCTGTTTTTATTAAACCAACAATATTAAACTAGATCACTGCATCCTCAACACACACACACACAGGGGGTACAGAAACTGTTAGTACAACCAACTACTAGTACACTAACAGTGTAGCAAGTGTAGAAAAGAGGCTGAGATGGTTCTCTGTGGACTGGGGCGGCCAGGAACCTGAGCAGGGCCTGGGAAACAGCTGAGGTGAGTGCAGAAAGGGCCAACCCAGAACACAGAAGCTGCAGAGACGAGAACATTCTGACATGTTCATCAGCCATGGGAGTGGGTGATTCGCGTGTCCCACAGAGGGGCTTGAACAGGGGGCTATTAAGTATGCTCTTCTATCCACTAATGGTAGGAAGATATGATTGGTTTCCAAGCACGAAATGATGTAACCAAAGCCTTGTAATGGAACAAGAGAAATCAGTGTAAGGACTCTCTTCCCTTCTCCGCTCTTAGAATCAGTTTAACAGTCACTCACCTGAAATAGCAGCTTCAGAAAGCACTTTAAGTACCTCGTTTTCCATCTCACAACTGTTACACAGCTCCTCCCAAGTCCCTTTAAGTCCTTTCTTTCGAGCTAGTTCTGTTAGTTCCTTTTGATTTGGCACAACAAATCCAATGACGTAAGAATGATAACTGAAATACATAAAGCATAGCTTAGGGAAGGAATTAAATGGCATGCCATGTTAACCGGAGTTACTGATTACACTGACATTTTGGTAGCCAACTCTTGACTATTTTAAAGAAAACGCATGAGGCATATTTGGTATTGGCATACTTATTTCAGCAACAGCCACTTTTACTGTCTGATTCATAACACATTCCAATGCTTTGGCTCAGTTCACTGCTAAATAAACTTTAATCTGACATTTCCTGATAAATTTCAACTATACATAGTTGAATAGTTATGAATAGTGCCACATACACATTTTTTAAAAGAAAATTACAAATATCAGAAAATTCATCTTATTGTTAAAAAAATCAGAAATTCACATAAACAGGTTAAAAAAATAAAAACTAATGTATCTGAAGAAATTTGGCAGCAAATCAAAGTAATGTGATTATTTTTTTCTTGTGTGATCACGAGAATTCGTGTTGACAGAGGAACTGTGAGTGCCCACGGATGGCAGCAAACTGAAGAGATGGCAGCAGCGTCAGGAAGAGAAGGACAGTTCTGGTTAGTATCATACAAGTAAAATCCAGAACTGCAGCAACAATGAAGAAAATACTTCACGGCTAACTGAAGTGCAGAATCATTTATAAATCAAGGTAGTAAATCTTTAACTTGGGCTCAAAGTCTGTTTCTAAATTGGTTCTTCTGACACCAGATTTTATTTTTTCATAATAATTATTATGTCAGCTGCTATAATAAGGCTGGCCACAAAATATCTGATCATTAACATTGAAAATAATTGCCACATGCAATACTGTTACAGAAAAACGTAATCAGAGCACCAATCTGAAATTCCAACACATTTCCCAAGAATGCATTCTGGGATTTTAACTCTAAACTCTCCTTCCCAGCTGCCTCTACAGCACCTGGGGTTAGAGATGCTATGTGTTAAGCCACAGCTTCACACAGCTGAGGCGGAAGCCCTCAGCCCTGGCCAGGGTCTCAAACAGGCTCTGGCTCAGAGCAGGGTAGAAAGAACTGAGCAGAGTGCTGCTGGCTGACCCCCGCCCCCCACTTCCTTTCCTTACCCCCTCTTCCTCTGGACTGGTTCTGGGAAGCTGCCCTGTGCAGAGGGACATGTGGCTAGGGGTAGCAAGGCAGCAGGAAAGAGGATTGTATTTTCTTCACCTCCCTACACGTTGGACACGGCAGTGAGATGTAAAGCAGAAAACAGGGACACTCAGGAAGATGAGCAGGGGAAGCATCACAAGGAAAGAATCAGCTAATGGCTGTAATGAGAAGAGGCCGTTCCCCGAGACAACAGATAAGAAGGAAGAGCTCTTGGTATAATTTTACAAAGAAGGCCCCTAGTGGAAGGAAATACCAGCAGCACACCAAATGCTGTAAATACAAGCAGCAGGAATTCTATGTTCTTACCTATTTGCATATGCACAAATGTTATCTATTAGTGAGAGATTCTTCAGCGCTGCCTCTACTTTCCCAAGAGAAACATACTCTCCTGCCTGCAGTTTTACAAGGTCCTTTTTACGATCTATACAAAACAAAGGCCGGGAGGGGGGCAGATTGGAGGACAAAATTAATAACACCTTTAATACATATAAATATTGGCCATTCCCTAAGTAATTTGCTACTGATTAAGTTCATTATAATAGTTATGCTAAAATTAAAAGTACATAATAAAATTAGGCCCTAATTTTTGTACTATTATATACATTCTTAAAAAAAAATTAGCTTCTAATTAAGGGACCCCATCATCAAGACTTCAGGTATGTTCTGCTGAACAGGTATATTCTTGGTAAACATTAATACCAGGAAGGTACAGAATACAGTCAATCCATCTGAAAGCTCACATTCTAGCTGGAGAGACGCACGATGCAAAGACATCTTACAATACAATACGGTATTGCTATGTGTTAAGACTCTCCAACGATTTGGAAAGAATCCTGCAAGCGAGGCCCGAGCTGAGTCTTGAGGGCAGACTGAGTGGTAGCCAAGTGGAACAGAGAGGCGTCAGCTCGAATGACTGCAGCATAAAGGAGGAAACAACCGAGATGGGGGCGGAGAGGGGAACCGGGGCACGTAACAGAGGCCGCCTCAACTAAGCCTCCAGGGGCCACTGAGAGGTTTCCAGCAGGAAAGCGGCCCAGTGAGACGGGTGTTCAGTCATCACACGGACGCAGTGAGCGGGCGCGCTGAAGGGGGCAAGCATGGCAACAGAGAGGAATTCTTTGCAATAGGGTGACAGAAAGGGCAGGCCTGACCTACAATCACAGTGAGAGGGACAGAGAAAGAGAGGAGAGAGTGACCTTGAGGCATATTTCATAAGGTCCATCAGCAGGATATGGGTTAGATACGAGGAGCTGACTGAAGAGAAGAGTCTCTCCTCTCCTCCTGGGTCTCCAGTTAGCATCACTGGGACAGAAATGGCATTACCTGAGAACAAGAACCTAAGAGGAGAAGCAGGGGGTGTGTTTCTCGCCCTGTGGGTCACAGCACTCCAGCTGCCAGGCCTTCCTTAGTCCTCACAGGCAAGGACACGGTCCGACAGGAGAGAGTCCTGTGCAATAATCTCTAGATGCCGAAGATTCATAAAAGGAATGTTCCCTATACGAATTTGACTTTTAAGGGTTAGTAATAATTAAATAGTAATTAAAAATACCACTGCTGTTGGACAGTTTTTGAGACCTCATAATGTTGTCAAGCCTTATAAATTCCACACAGTCCCCATTATAAATTCTTAAATTCCAGGACGATGCAACAGACCATACCAACACTACATAAAGATATATTCTTACATTATTAGAGAGCTTCTCTAAAGATATAGTATCTCTTTTATAAAACCATTTCAGAAACATCACTTTCAAAAAAAATATCAAGTGGCTCACCAATAATCTTTAAACAACCATCAGGGTCAAACTCTCCAATGTCTCCGGTGCAGAGCCACCTCTGTCCCTTTTCATCTTCAAAGAAATCAGCTTTTGTTTTCGCTTCATTTTTGTAGTACCCCATGGTCACATTTTGGCCACCAATAAGAATTTCGCCCCTGGGGTGTGGTTTATCGGTGTTGAAGTACCCACCTAAGGAGCACAGAGTCATTTGGCGTTAATTCAATGTTGCTATCCCTGCACGCACCATGTGAAAATTTGAAACTATTAGTTTCTAAATAGACACATCTGATTTTAAATGCGATTAGCTTCCCAAAGGAAATAAGGCAGGAAGAAAACTCATCGGCAGAAAACTAGGTGCAAAATTTCAGTTGCTTGACCACAAGCACTTATGCTTTTAAGCTACCAAGAAAAAAACTATACTCCAAAACCCAACAGCTTCCATCTGTTGAATAAAAGAGCTACAAATACTACAGGTGAATCCCCTTAAAGATTCTGTAGAGATGCTTAAACAACATACTAATAAACTGATAAAAGTATTAAACCATGCCTTTAGTAAGAGAACAATAAATCTCTGTATAAAATCAAATAACTATATATTTAGAAGATTTTTCCTGACAGATAATTTCAGAATGACTCCAAGTTTAAATTTATTGAACATTTTCACTAATTCTGCTAAAAGACAGCTGAAAAGTGATGTCTGAGCCTTGGAGTCTTTATTTTTACTTTGTATAAAAGAAAAGTGCAGCCAGCAAATCACATATAATGTGAACATGTTAACAGGGTCAAAGGAAAGTTTTAAAAAGTGGATAGTATTTAAATGGCATAAGCAATAGATTTTTATCGAATTATAGTGAAAACTTCCTTCTGATAATTCTGAGTTGAAGCCCTTGGGGGAAATAAAGAAAAAACATGAAAAAATCTTCAGTTTCACAGAATAAATTTTGTGATTTTGCTTCTAAAAAATAAAGTTATGATCATTTCTAATTTACTGACATTATTCATTTAGCACATTTTTCAAGTTTTTGCCATAATTCTTACTTGCATTTATGTAATAAAATAAGCAAAATAAAAATTATAATTCTTCAGAGTCATCTTTAAAACAAAATAAATGTATTCATATAGCTCTATATAAAATGTTTCTACTATAAAGAAGAAAAATGAGCACTTGTGGGTGACTTGTATTCTAAAGTAAGGAAGGAAATGAAACACAATTCTAATTTTAAAGTTTAATATTATATGAATTAATGCTCTTGGTTAAAATAGGTTATTACCTTCCTCCCAGTTCTTTAACTTGATTTCACAGCAAACTAATGGTGCTCCCACTCTGCCAGTATTGTAGTCCCACACTAAGATGCAAATGAAAAAAAGGATTTGATTACAGTAGTTAATAAATTGCTTCATTTTCCTAAATTACCAAAATGATGATTTATCCCAAAGCTTAGATATCCCCAGAGAATCCTTAAAAGTAGAAGTCGCAAACTGGTGAACCACAGGCTGTGGGGCCCACAATGAGTTTTTCTCTTTTCTTTTTTTACTCTGAATTGGTTACCTAGATTCAAAAATCAGGACATTTTACATGTAAGTGTGGAATCTCCAGCAACAAGGGACCCAATTTCCAGCAGAGCAACAACTATCATCCCCATGAGATGGGGCGTGCCTGCTCCAGTCCCCCCAGAATCCTTATCTATCACATTTTCTTACCTCAGGGCCCACTTCACTCACTTAAGTAACTGTCTGGTTCATGAATCTGCAGCCCCTCTCTTACAGGATGATAGAGCACACTGCTTTATAGCTGTTCCACTTTCTTACTAGGCTTAACAGCTTTGCAGTACAAATAACCTCCCCAATCTTCTCCTACGTACCACTATTTCAAAGTGAGACCTCTGCAGCCTCCCTCACATCAGCTTATGATCAAAATCTATTCAAATTCAGACAGTAAGGGTTCAGAGACGGGGCTGGAGATTAAGATTGTTAACTTCCAAGGATCCAGGAAAAGCCCCCACCACTACCATGAATTACTACATTATGTTTCCTCTTCAAAGATCACTCAAATATCAGAAACAAAAGGCTGACATTTAACACTTTACAGACCGTTATATTTACAACATAAACTGTAACTGATTAATCAGTCAACTTGAATCTTAAAAACAGAAGACACTAAAGATCCTCAGAAAAAAGGAACTACATATGCATGAATTTAAGATTGCTTATTTCCTAAAAAGCAAGACTTAGAAGTAGCTTCCAAAAATATATAAAATATAGAGAACATTATTGAAAACAGGAAAATACAGAAGTAATGCAAGAGGAATCTAGCATAAGAATGGTACACACAAGCACTCAAGGTAAACAGAGTTTCACGATCAGAGGTAAATTTAGTATCTATCAACACCTAGAAAATACAAGGGAGAAGCAGAGGTTTTCCTAGTCCTGGGGAGCAGAGGAACTTCCCTCCATAGCAGGGACACACGAGGCACCATGGGATCCATCTGGAAACCACTTGGGTCGTGGATCGTCTCCTCCACCACGTCACCGTGATAAACTCTGGAAATTATAATCTCTAGACCCGAATCTAGTTTCTCTCTACACTTACAAAGATCCCCCACTTTAAACATTTCTGAATTTGGGCCTGAATACACATACCTAAACAACTCGACAAAACACGTTAATTTTTCTACAAAAAAAGAAAGTTAATAACTGATGTAAGAAAATAAATGTATACAATACAGCCAATGCTTGTTACTAAAACTTCTTTTCCAGAATGCTAAGTAGTTTTTAACATTACATATCATAGTTTAACATGAAAAAGTCCTCTAGATGAATTATTGACTATTAGATGTACATAATACACTGTTATCAATAATCACAGTACCTGGAATTGATCATTATTCTGCTACACAAATACCTTAACCTCTCTTCTCCTATATATTTGCAGAAAACAACCCACACCAGAAAATGCCTGGAGTTACACCCCAGCCTCTGCTGGACACACCACTTTGTGGACAACACTCACCTTCTGTAATCGTCCCAGCCCCAGAAGATTCAGTGAGTCCATACCCCTGACCAACGGAACAGCAGAAACAGATATTCATGAATCGCTGTGTGGTTGCAGAAAGTGGGGCACCTCCACACAACAGAAGCCGAATATTTCCACCTAGCAAGCTTCGAACTTTCCGGAAAATAAATCTAAAAAAAAATTAATCAGAGAATCACAGGATTTTAAGGCTGAACGAGATATTCCAAATCATTTAGACTAATCTCTCAATTTTGATATATGAGATTTTGAGATTAAGTGACTTATCCAAAGCCACAAAGTCAATTTAAGAGATTCTCTTGACCCACTACTTAATTTTTAGAAATTCAACCAAGTAAAGAATATACAATTTTCTCTTAAGAACCTTTCAAGTAATATTTGAATTCAAAATTGTCAGGTTTAGGGGCCAGCCAGGTGGTGTGGTGGTTAAGTTCAGCGTGCTCCACATCAGCAGCCAGGGGTTCACAGGTTCAGTTCCCGGGCACACACTACACACTGCTCATCAAGCCATGCTGTAGCAGCAACCCACATAAAAAAGAGAGTAAGAATGGCACAGATGTTAGCTCAGGACCAATCTTCCTCGAGCAAAAAGAGGAAGATTGGCAACGGATGTTAGCTCACAGTCAATGCTCCTCACCAAAAGAAAAAAAAAATACTTGGGTTTAATTTTGTACAGTAATGGAAAACCCTTGCTTAAGGCCAGAGCAATTAGTTTTATATCATTATATAATACATGTTAATACTGAATAATCCTATTGTAGCTTTATAAAATTTAGTATTAAAAACATTAATTTTTTGCTTTAGCTTACTTCATTAGAAATGTGTACATATTTGCATACAGCAATCCAATTCTTTTTAAAATTTCATTAATTCAAGTTCTGAAGTGTTTATTGTTTAACAATATCCAGTAAATTAAAAAAAAGAAAATAATTCAAACATCTAATTGAAATGTTTCTGAAAATACACTAATAAAAAAGATTGCTTACTACCTTGATCAAAAAGGGGAAAGGGGTTGGGTTTTTTTAATAACTTTGAAAAAGATGAAGGCCAAGTAGCAATCACTTTTAAAAAATAATATTAACAGGCTTTACAAAATAGGTTATATATCTCTCTGGAGAAATAACTAAAAGAAAGGCAGAGAAATAAACTTATAAAGTTTTAAATAATTGAAGCATCTGAAAACTATAGTAATATTCCCATAAAAAATAATTTGTATGTCATACTTTCATTTTCTAATTTCTAAACTATTTTATAATTAAATCTACTTACTCTATTAGCACTACAAAAACAAAAAATAGATCTGTGGTAAAACTGGTCATGTAACATTTTAAGCACAAAACATTTAATCATATTTGGTTGCAATTTTATATTCATATTGGACTGTATTTAAAAGCAAAGAGAAACTATTTCTCAAAATAATTAAAATCACATAAATGTCCATAAAAAATATAAGAACACTATTAAATACAGTAAAATTTTAGGTGAAAAATTTTTTCAAATAACATTGCAATTTTTTTAATTGCTCATATCCTTATACTAGATGGATTTTTAAAGAGTCCCTTTGACTTTTTAAAATAAATTTATTTCCTATAACTATCTCAATTAACTGAGCTATTAATGTGAATAAAAAGGTTAAATTATCAAGGGGAGGAACCTTTACACTCACCTGTCACACAGTGGGGTACTACGCCCTTTTGAAATCTGCTCCATTTTGTAATTATAAGCCAGAATAAACAGATTGCGCTGAAAACTACTCATTTCATTCACTTTATTCATGACATTTTTGTAGATCCGATCCATGATTTCCTAGATGTATAAAAATGCATTAATATAGTCAATAATGCTATCGGCTGCCTTATACATTAAAATCTTAACATCAGATTAACATTTCTATCAATACTGAAGCATTTTAAAAGGAATATTCTATCAGGAACAAACTTGTAAAATAGAGCCACAATTAGTTTAAAAATGAGGTTTCTGTAAAAATCATTTTTAATAGCAGAAATAGATCTAGATGCTCGCATGAGTAGTAAAAAAAAGGAAATAGAAGCCTTAGGGCAGTCATATACCATATTTGATTCTTTATATTGCTTTGCTTGTTTATTTATTCTGAACTAAAAACTAAACTCACTAAATAAACGAACAACTATATGAAATGGTTTTTAAAATTCTTATAACTTTATCTTATAAAGATATAGAGTATCACATTTTTTGCTTATAAAAGGACCATGGGGGTTCTTTGGTTTTTAGGTTGGTTGGTTGTCTTTTAATGCTGCACGGGGGAAATTTTCCTTGTCTAAACTGCATTTTGCTTGCTAGGTCTATTGCTATGAAGTGATTGCTATGAAGATATTTCAATGACTTGAAATCGTTTTTCCTCTAAAATTTTAAATTATACTTAATTTTTAAGTAAACTAAGAATTTAAAGTAGGATACTACTAAGGAAACTCTATACCTGCAGAAACCCCAAAACTACTGAGCATTTACATTTGACTTTGGAATGACTATGTAACTACACTTGGATGTGAGCACTCGGGTATCTGATAACAATTGCCAACACTTTCAAACAAAATCAGAGAGCCACATAAAACTTACAGTAAGAAGACAGAACATCACTGCTGCCCCACTTCTTTTGATCTGATTCCCAGGCCCTCCCTATGCCTGGTATTATATTAGGATGCAAGTGCTTCTCAGAAAATTCAAAGTCACACCAACCTCTCAATGTCACTGTTTTTGGTGTCTAGGCCAGGCTTTCCCTGAGGACTCAGGATAACTACACGATTTGCTTAGAAGGAGGTGATCTCAAACCTTCCCTCCTATATCCTGCTGGGATTCAGGTTTCTACTAATAGCAAATAGATGTCATGAAAATGATTTGAACAAGAAGCTTTTTAGGGAAAGGAGCTGACAATATCATATAGAAGCTGAAACTAATTTGAATGTTAAGTAGATAAGAAAAAAAAAACTAAAACGAGACTGAATAAATCCTATAGCGCTTAAGGCAATACAAACAATTAATACGGAATAAATCCTACACAAACTACCTCCTCAACGGTATCTTCCCACTAGCATTTATGTCTGGAGCAGACGATACTTCTTTAGTACCTGACATTAATTAACGGTCAGTTCTTACCGGAACAGCTGCCATCAGTGTTGGTTTCAACATGGATGTATCCCCTTTGCTTCCTTTTTTTATTTTTGAAGACTATAGAGAGAAAAAGTGATCTATATCAAGTGATCTTTGTTTTAAAAATTCAATAGAATTCTTAGCTCAAAAAGCATATTATAAATTCATCATTTTAATTCACTTACATTCTAACAAGCACTTAAAAGGCAAGTGCTTACTTAAAAATGAATAACTGTCATCCTTAGAATATACTGTCATATTGAAGGAAAAAAAAAATGTGTTAAAAATAATGATGATTTTTTAGTATCTCAAGTCACGGACATTTAACTTACCTGATCTGCTAAGGTCTGCGGTGAAGAGTAGCCAATGCGACACCCATGAGAAAGACAGACAAGTTCAGCGCTTAGTTCTAAGACGTGGGCCAGAGGCAAATACCCAATGTAAACATCTTCTTCTCTGAGAGAAAAGGGAGACAGAGAAGCTCCCGTCAGGGGCCGGCCCCACTGAGAGTGGCTGCACGGGGAGCGAGCTTGAAGAGGCACGTGCAAGGACCCCAGGACATCAATCTGGGCTCCCTGCAGGTGGGGAGTCAGGTGTCCGAGTGTGAGAGTCTGTGTCTGTGTGTCTGTGTAATTTCTGTGCATAAGGGCATCAAAAATATCAAACCACTGCGAGCCCCTTCTCGCGGGAACCCACTACCCGCCAGGCCGCAGTGACCAGTTCAGGGTGCCTGTGAGCCATTAAAACCCCCGCTTCCCAGCTGCACGGTGAGACGCCTGGGACACCACAGCCAGCCCACAGGACACCACCAGATATTTAAAGCTGGGACAAGTACAGAGACACCAAGGGAGCGGTTCCCAGCTCCCACAGCAGGTGGCGCCACACCCTGTCCAGGGCCGGCACACCGTGCCCTGCCGGGCCTTCGGGGGCTGCTTTGATAACACAGCAAGCGCGGCACAAAAATCAACATGGAACAGGGAACGCACGTGGCGGTGCCCAGTGGGATTCTCCAGTCTGAGAAGCTGCACAGCCCATTAGTTCACAACAGTGATTCATTTAAGAATAAAATAGCTTCCTTCAGAAAAAAAAAATATCCAACCGCTGCTCAGATCAGTAATCAGAACACTGATTCCAGCCCCGGGAACGTTTCCCCCACAACCCCTCACACCCCCATCTGCTCTCCTCTGTGATTCCCTTTCCCACTCCAGTACACCACCTTCCCCTGCTACTACTGGCATTTGTCTTAAAAAGAAAAATCAGAGGCTGAATACAGAAGCTCAATAAATATGTATTGGATATATTAAGTTATATATATATATCCAATACGAATTATAACATTTAGGTATAAAAATGACCTAAGAGGCAACACCACCAACTGATTAAAATAATTTAAACTAATACATTTAAGTCACTTAAAATTTATAATATTAACAATGATATCTATAAACTACATTTTAAACCTGACAGCTATAACTATCTTGTAATTAATTTTAACATGCTTTTTTGGAAGGAAATACCTACTGTAAAGAGACTCCGAAGGACTCATTTCACCAGGTCCTACCAAACGACACCAATGTCAATATAACAACATATATAAACACCGGACGACCCCACATTTATTGACCATGACATACCCCAGCTCTGGAATCCTTTCTGCCATCCCAGTTATACCAGCAATAACGTTACTATGGGAGATCATGACCCCCTTTGGAATTCCTGTGGATCCACTTGTGTACATGATTACTGCAATATCTAAGGGCACTGGTTTGCTACGAGGTTCATTTTCTGCATTGGACAAAAAAAAAACACACACTTCAGAGAAATTTAGCCATATCAATTTTTTCCATAACCATTTATTTGTTAACTCATTCAAAAACTATTAATTATATTCATACAGAGGTCAACAAAACAGATCAAGTCCCTGCACATAAGGGACATATATTCTATTGGGACAGACATATAAATCTATAATGTAATAAGAGCTACAAAGAAAAATAAAGCAAGACAAGGTGAGAAGATGATAGCAGAAGTTATTTTAGATGGAAAAGACACAAAAGGCCTTTCTGTAGAGTTCGTGTTTTAGTGAAGACCTGAATAAAGTGAGGAAAGGAGACAGGAAAATCCTAGAATTGGGATAAGAGTGTTTCATGTAGAAGAAAATAAGCAAGCGCAAAGGCCCTGAGGTAGGCATGTGCTTGGCATATGGACAGACCAGGAAGGTGTGGTGGGGATGGAGTGATCGAGAGGAAAAGTGGCAGGAAATGAAGGTGAGGTGGCAGCCAGGACCACGTCCGCTAGAGCCTTGGAGGCCATGCTAAGGACTCTGGATTTCGCTCTGAAGTGGAAGCAATGTCGTTTTGAACAGGAGCTTACCATCTGGCTGCTGTGTGGCTACCTAAGTTAAGACAGGGAAGAAAGGAGGTAGGGAGACAAAAGGCAACTCCAGCAATTCAACTAAGAAGTAAGGGTGGTTGGACCAGGGTACCTAGACATTTGCTAAAAAGTGTTCTCTGCCTCACAGTGGGAAGTGCACTTGGCTACACTCGGAATCCTGCATTAAAAGACCACGTCCTCCATCTGCACCAGCCTAAGGACAGCAGCCAACACCCTATGGAGGTGACACAGGAGCAAGACAGGGAAGGGTCATGGGGGGCACTGCTGATCTGCCTGAATGAATCTTGGAACTACCCTCAATGTGGACTTCTTAAATAAGGGGGGGAAACTGTCAACAAGATCCCTGGTGAACCCTTTCTCTCCTACCTGCCCAGATATATGTCTTGACAATTGTAATCATTCAAGTCCTTACTTCCTAATCTGCCATTCACTCCTTCACCCCACGGCACCATTCCCCACCACCACTTCTTGGAAACTGCTCTAACGTGACGTCTGCTGAGTCTGACGGTCCTTTGCAACCCCTGTGTCATCTGACTCCTCCACTGAGGACTGCTGCCTCACTGAGGCGCTCCTTCCACTTGGCTTCCATGAACCACCCACTACATGTTTTCTTCCTTCCTCTCTGACCAACCCCTGGTGGCCTCTGAAGGCACCATTCTCTGCGGGTGACCTCACCTACTCTGACAGCTATAATTAAAACCTAACTGCTCCTACATCTCTTACCTCCAAACTGAACTCCAGAGTACTAGACTTGCATTACCACTCCCTACTAGATGTCTACATGTGAATGTCCCACCAGCACCTAAAATTCAATATGCCCCAAATTAAAGTCAACATAACCCCATTCCTGAGCTGAGTGAATGCTTACATCTAATTAATCACTACGTTTCCAACTATAAAAGAAATATAGTCCCAGCATCCTAGCAGCTTTTGTGATAGCCCTGAACACCAGTACACTCTCTAACATTTCCTGACACTCATCTGAGAGGAGGAACTTCCAGGCACCAGCCATAGGTGTGCTGGTTGGAGGATAAAAAGATGTCCCCTCTGGAAAAGGCAGACTTGGGACAGGCAGTAACAGGAGGGACTTAGGGTTACCACTCAAGCTACCTGTTAATAGTTACAGATAATTCACAAAAAACTAACCTCAAACCATCCGAAACTATCAAAAAAGGAAACGGTAAAACTGTATAATGTAAAACGTATTTTAATTAATTTCAAGTAAATACTACTTTTAGAACATTAATAAATTAATGTTTGTATTTTTCTTCAAACCTTCCTTTAAAGGGTAGATGAAAGTACACCTGGAGCGACCTTACTTCCAGAAGTGATGGTCTAGGGAACTCATCTGTCGCTTGATCTAACTTTAGGGTCAAATACTGAGACGATTCTAGAGCACAGCATCACTGCAGGACGTACGCAAGGACATACCCAGGCTTGCCTTCGCTCCCAGAGCCTGCACTGCAGCCATGGTGTGCACGATGACACCCTTGGGGAACTCCGACCAGGATGGAGGTTTACCATCGACAGTGATGATGTGCCGCAGACGCGGGACCAGAGAAACGATATCCTGGAAAACACAGGCATTCATCATGTTCTTCACCATTCTTCATTAACCAGCTTAGCGAATAGTCCAGGACACAAGAAAAGCGGTTTACCACATTCAAAGTAATTTCTTGCCTCAAAAAAAAAGCAAGGGGGGCCGCCCAGTGGCACAAGCGGTTAAGTGCATGCACTCGGCTGCTGTGGCCCGGGGTTCCCCGGTTCGTATCCAGGGCGCGCACCGATGCACCGCTTGTTAAGCCATGCTGTGACGGCGTCCCATATAAAGTAGAGGAAGATGGGCACGGATGTTAGCCGAGGGCCAGTCTTCCTCAGCAAAAGAGGAGGACTGGCATGGATGTTAGCTCAGGGCTAATCTTCCTCAGCAAAAAAAGGGGAGGATTGGCATCAGATGTTAGCTCAGGGCTAGTCCTCCTCACAAAAAAAACAAATTAAAGAAAAGCAAGGGGGAGGGAGGGCACAGATACGAACACCACATTTTTTCAGATGTAGAAATACTGGTCTGGGGCCGGCCCCGTGGCTTAGCGGTTAAGTGCGTGCGCTCCGCTGCTGGCAGCCCAGGTTCAGATCCCGGGCGCGCACTGATGCACCGCTTCTCCGGCCATGCTGAGGCCGTGTCCCACATACAGCAACCAGAAGGATGTGCAGCTATGACATACAACTATCTATCGGGGCTTTGGAGGATAAATAAATAAAGAAATAAATAAAAGAAATACTGGTCTGAAATTTAAATTACTTTTTTATAGCATTAGATTTATTCGGTGTACCCCTGTTCTTTGGTAACATCTTTACAAAATGGGCGTGTAAACATGTGGCTGCCTGAACTACAGAGCAGGCAAAAGTCCCTCACGTTTTTAAGAGGCTACTAAAGATATGGGCGGAGAGGGAGGGAACTAACTTACAAAAACAACAGACCAGGTGTTATTGTTTTCACAGGGAGTTGTCTAGAGACTGAAGAAATCCCTTTTCCCTATAGTTTCATAAAGTCTTTTTCCCTTTAAAAAAATTCTGAAAACTCAGACTCAGTGCTTCAGAAATAAATGAATTACTAGTTTAAAAATAACCCTTCAAAATTACAAATCTATTGAAAATAGATTAGAAAATAGATAAGCACAATAAAGAAAAAGACAAAGTTGCAATGCCCTCACCTTAGACATGGGCATATTAACAATCTGTAACTCTCTGCACTACTTACACACAAATATTTATGAAAGCCATTTTTCTTTTCTAAAGGAAAGGGATAAAGTATGATATTGATATTCCTAAAAGCTTACAAAGATATTAAGGATTTTAAAGATCATAAAAGAACTAAGTTATCAATAATAGGGCTCATGACACTGAAAAGGCTAAAGTATCGGACAATCATAAAATAACTACAGCCCTCACCTTCAGCTTTGTCTGCAAGAGTTCTTTACTAGTAATGATGTTGGTCACCTCTGTCTCATTTAATCCATGAACAATGGCTGGACCTCCTAGAGTAGCATACAACGTAACAACTGTAGGGAAAAGGAAGGCAAGTTAAATATTCGAACACTTCATGGAAGTATTAAATGTAAACAAAGCCTCTGAAAGTGGATGTGAATCATAATGGAGTACAATGAACCCCAAATTGTTAGATCTCTAGTTTATGATCTAACTGTGCTGTGTTTTTCTAAATCATTTTAATATACTAATCAATATTACGCCCACTCACCCTTCCCTAAGGTCCCCCAAGATTTCCCATACTTTAAAACAAAAATTTTTTAATTTTATTTTGCTTCACCTACAGACATTATTCTGGGACTGTCATATCGAAAGGAATTATATCTGACTTCTAAAATGTCAAAGTCTTAGTTGTTAACTACTTGATACTACAACATGAAAAAAACATATACTAATAAGACACTGTCAGATTTAAGGTGTTATATGTTAAGTAAATAGCATGACCAAGTGGTAGTACTGCTTATTCTAAAGCAGAAAAATCTGAAGAAACACATTCTTAGAAATGTTGAAATTAAATATAATAATAATGGGGATTTTCATTTGCATTCTGCCAAACTCGAAAAAGTGAGACTTAAAGTGACTTTTAGAAATGGTAATTATTTTAAAGCTTCTCAAAAGAAACACACTGTGAACCCAAAGCTGTGAAAACAAAAAGGTACACCAGTTTTTAAAAAAACAGGGCCGGCCCCGTGGCTTAGCGGTTAAGTGCTCTCGCTCCGCTGCTGGCGGCCCGGGTTTGGATCCCGGGCGCGCACCAACACACCGCTTGTCAGGCCATGCTGTGGTGGCGTCCCACATAAAGTGGAGAAAGGTGGGCACGGATGTTAGCTCAGGGCCGGTCTTCCTCAGCAAAAAGAGGAGGATTGGCATGCATGTCAGCTTAGGGCTGATCTTTCTCACAAAAAAAAAAAAAAAAAAAGGGCCGGCCCCATGGCTTAGCGGTTAAGAGCTCGCGCTCCGCTGCTGGAGGCCCGGGTTCGGATCCCGGGCGCACACCGACGCACTGCTTGTCCGCCATGCTGAGGCCGCGTCCCACATACAGCAACTAGAAGGATGTGCAGCTATGACATACAACTATCTACTGGGGCTTTGGGGGAAAAATAAATAAATAAAAATTGAAAAAAAAACAACACCGGGGGAAGCATTTACAGCAAGAAATCTGGTAAAAGTATCCTTTCTGTTTCATCTAAAGGATAAGACAACATCTATATTTAACATCACATTTTGGCACCAAGACCTCTGAACTAAGCTTCCAGGACTACCTCACCAACTGAGGGATCATGACGACCACTCAAATAATTACAATATAAAAATTCTCCATATCGTTTAATCTTAGCGCCTAGGTTTGAGTACTGGAAGTGTTTTAGGGGTCAACCGTTAGCACTGATGGAAGTGGCTAACAAAATGACACTGACTTCAAGGGGGAATTCCTGAGAGATGGTAGCAGAGCATTGACCCAGGGGTGTAGGTCTAGCTCCCGACCCAGCAAGTCCTCTATTAATAGGTTCTAGTCCCCTTACTACACTGACTACACCATCTGTTCCACAACTGGTTCTGTTTCAAAACAGACCAATAATTCTCACTTGTAACAAAGAGTTCCCCACTGATTGGATGCAAGGTGAAAATTAATATCAGAATTTTAACCTTTTGCGAGTGAAATATTTATAATACAAAGTTAGTATCATCTCTCCCACAATAAGGTTAAGTCCACTCTTCCAGAAAATAAGAAAGCCTACATACGCTGAAAATTATACATAAAGCAGGTCTGGGCAGCAATCATCCACTCGGCCCTGGTTTCACAGAAGATGGCGATGTTGGTCTTTGGTTTCTGACCCAGCATCTGTAAGCCATTTCCAAAATTAAGAGCTCTAACAAAGACATCTTCATAGGAGAGCCAATTATAGTGTCCAAGAATAACCTGATAAAACAAACAAAAAACACACAAATAACTTTTAATATAACCAAAATATGAATTTCGAGGAAGGAGCCAGGAGGTGTTCCGAATTTTATGACAAACCAGAACGTTATGTTTGCATGTAGTTCAACTATTATTTTCTAACAAAAAGCTAGAAAGTGAGTTGCAAATGAAAACTCTATTTTGAAAATTAACTGTTTTATGATATCTTCTATGACAACTCGAATCTTATACTAAATCTTTTAACTGTAATTTTTTTTTGGGGGGGTGGGAGAGGCACGGTTTGTTTTCAAAAATATTCAGGGTTTGATGAGCTCTTAAAGGTCAACTTTCTGGCCAAAGGATCATATACTAATAATTCATTTACAGATTTCATTTACTTAAATGATTTACATGTTAGTTTAAAATTTAGCCTAATATCAAGTGCTGGTATCAAAATTTTACTTTCCCTCTACTCATGAATTCCTGGATTTCAACATCAGATGGTACAATACAATTCACAAACAGAAACTAGCCAGATCCAAGCTAACAGAAATATTTATGGCTGTTCAATTTAATTGCTGTATCTAACTCTGGATAAGCAAAGTAAACAAGTCTCTATTTAGGCAACCAGGTGGGGACTGGTTACATTATTTATCAAGATCCCTCTGTTGAAGCCTTAAATGCTTACTGGCACCGCCGGGCTTTCAACATTTTATCGTGCTTACCACAGGTGCGGGTAACATCAAGTCTATATTCGTAATAATCCCCTTTTAAAGCCGGTTAACATATTTTTGTCTTCAGGAATTTTCTCCAACTTAGACCATACATCCCCAATTACATATAGATTGGATAAAAAGCTCCTCTTGCTGCAAAAATATACAGATAGTTCCCAAACATGGCTGTGTCATTAATATATGTCTCACATACCTTAAAACCATCTAACCACATTCATTTTCAACATTTAGGAGATTTCTAGAAATAAGAGGCTAGATGAAGATAAAAATGGAAAAAGGATAAATACTGACCTCTAGTGTCTTATTCCATAATGAACTTAAGAAATAAATTCTTATTTTGATGGATAAGGCAACCGTATTTAAAATACTTATTTAACTTTAGTGGTCCCAAACTCTCACCTTGCTCTGCACCCCCACGAAATGCTCAGCACGGGGAGCTCCAATGACTTCAAAAGGAGCTCTGCGGGGGTGAGAAGACAGATGAGAATTTGGCCAAAACGTGCAGGAACTGGATTACAATTAAGAATTTTACATTCCAAAGGTAAGCGTGAGCTACCTCCTAGATTCTAGAACCTAAATGATCAGCTCTGTAAGTTTCAGAGAATATATGTGTTCTGAAAAGGCATTAGATATATAATCCAAATATATAAACCATATGATGGTGCCACCATGTGGCAAAGAAATCAAATCATGAGTTTAACTCAAGTGTAACCAAAATCTGAATTTCATTTAATTCTTTAAACCACTGAATCTCCTAGGAGTGATCTTTCCTACAAAGACTACATTTAAAGGACCCTACCTACCCCCAAATTTTATCTGACTTGTGCTGGAAAGTTTCTAATCCTTTGTCCCTATGGCTAGCCCAGTCTGAGATTACACTCGTTTCTTTCTGCCCTGCCTATGCTGCTGACCACTGGGGAAGAAGACCCAACCTTATTAAATCCAGGGTCACAGACCTCAGCACCCAGCAACCCTATTTCGCTTCCCCGGTATACTCATTTTATCACCCTCTGAAACGGCTACCTGAAACGTTCCCTCTACTCAGATATCCTCCACCTGCTCCCTCTCTCTCCACGTGCAGGTGATGATACTGCCTCACACTTCACTGAGAACAGAAATTAAACAGCAACTCCCTTCTCTTCCCACCACCGAGTTCATGACAACGTACATCTGCGCCCATACTCTCTGCAGTCCCTCATGGTATTACAGCAGTGACGTGTCCCTGACAAAAGCCAAACTCACAGGATTTTGCTTCCAAGAGCTTCCCAAATTTCCATCCAGCACTGACCACCCCTACTTGGATACGCAACTTCCTTTTTTACTCGATTATTCAACTAAGATGTCTAATAGTCCCCAAACCCAGCCGTTTCCTCCCGCCTCCACCCTGTCGTCCTAGTCCATCTCTCCCCTGAAATAACGAATGCTGACTGGCCAACCTGCTTCCATCCCTATTCCCCCACAAGCCCTTCTCCCTACAGTAGCGAGTGGTTTTGTTTTCTTTTTAATATATATCACCTCACTCCTCTGCTTAATACTCTGCAGTGTTTTCCGTTTCCAGTAGGAACGGAGTCTAAAAACCTCACCCTGGCCTAGACAGACCTAAGGGACCTAACATTGCCAGTGTCTCTGTGCTCACCTCTAACACCCTTCCTCTGCCCCACTTCCTGTAAAGACAGCTTTGTCCTTTCTGTCTTTCAAACAGGCTGGGCCAGGGCAGGAAGGAGGACAAGGCAAGACAGGCGCCTAGGGCACAACATTTAAGGAGGCACTTACTCTCAGGGTCTGAATGCCTTCTTAAACTCTGCACCTGGGGGCCTCACCCAACTGGGCTCACCCCCATTTTAGAGCCACTGCACAGAAGGTTCATTACCCAGCTCTTCACAACGTGGCTCAGGCCTCCACTCAGCCATTACCTACTCAGAGAGGCTATCCCTGACCTCCAATCAGCTGTATTCCTTCACAGTAGCTATTAAACCTGTTCACTTATTATTTATTGTCTCTTCCTCCCATACAAATGTAAGATCCTGGGCCGGCCCCGTGGCTTAGTGGTTAAGTGCGTGCGCTCCGCTGCTGGCGGCCCGGGTTTGGATCCCGGGCGCGCACTGAGGCACCACTTCTCCGGCCATGCTGAGGCCGTGTCCCACATACAGCAACTAGAAGGATGTGCAGCTATGACACAGAACTATCTACTGGGGCTTTGGGGGAAAAAAAAAAAAAAAAATAGAGGGGCTGGCCCGGCGGCATAGCAGTTAAGTTCATGTGCTCTGCTTTGGCAGCCCCAGGGTTTGTAGGTT